TATATATATATATTAGTATTAACATGGAAAGTAAATGAACAGATGAGAAAATCAAATCCGTAATGAGAAAAAAAGAATTTAAACAACTGTAGTGCCAACATTGGAAAAAGTGAAGGGGGTGTGAATACTTTGTGTATGTATACAGTATATATGCTTTTTTCCTTGCTCAGTGCACTACGTAGCTGTTAGGAAAGGCAATATGTTTACTTTAGCCTTGTTATTGTGGAGCACATTATGAAGAAGACTCAGTGAGAATCTGGCAGCAGAAGCTCAGACCTAGGGATGTTCAGATACCAAGTGCCGTACAAGTACAGATACTTGTCTGGCTACTAGACTAAAGAAAAATGCAACCCTGGTAGTTCCCGTGAAAATGCCAAGTATCGGCACTGGTATCTGTGCATTCCTAATCAACTCAGCTGTAGTACTTGCTGTATTTGAATACTTGTCCCTCATGACAATCTACTTGTCCCTCATGACAATCTACTTGTCCCTCATGACAATCTACTTGTCCCTCATGACAATCTACTTGTCCCTCATGACAATCTACTTGTCCCTCATGACAATCTACTTGTCCTGATACAAATAAAATAATTTTAACCAAAACCGTATTTAGCAGTGCTAAGAAGCACTTCTCATTGATCAGTGCGGTCAGGTGACCGTGTTGACCAACGAGTGCTTGCAATTTGAGTGAAATTCAGAATACATGGAACAGATACATATAGTAGACCCGTACTGGTGGACGGGAAGGACCGTTCGCCGAAAGGTAAGTATAGTGGGAGGGAGATTGTGCGGGTTATTCCATTTTCCCAAATTGCTTAGGAAAGTGAATTTACCCTTTTAGTGTGGGTGCAGACTTGGGGATTCCCAGGTCGTGCGATCGTGTGCGGTTGCATCCGCATGTATGGGGTTACATCTGCGTGGCAATCGCTTAAAAAAAAGGTAGATGTACCTATTTTCACGACATGCACATCGATTTCGTGCACGATGACCGGGCAGTCACGGATCGCACACCATTGCCGATTGTGCTGCCAGTGCCATTATGTTCTAATGGCACCCCAATCGTGCCAGGCAGATTGCGAGTTTTCCTGCTGCAATATTGCCCTGCCCGTGCGTTTGCACACGATCGCAGTTGCAAACACTGCACGTTTATTCGCATGCAGATGGGGGCAGCGGGCTGGTTTTCATTTTTTACATTATTATTATTTATTATTTTTACTTTATCGCCTTTTTTATTTTTTAAATTTTTATTTAGTTACATTTTTAATATTTTTTTTACTTTTTTTTTATAAACTAATTTTGTTTAAACCTA